AAACTGATGATGGTGGAAAAATACACCGAAACGTATTTTGATTGATAAATAGAGACAATAAATGACTGAAACCCAGGAATGAATTTGATTTGGAAAAGACACAATGTTTCCAGTGCATAAACTAGTCATCATCAGGGCCCGGCCTGATGCACTGTTGATTCACTGATGAATTTATGTTCTCCACAAAATATTTCCAGCAAGTCAACAGATAAACAGGAGCCAACACAAAAAGGCAGAAGACGATTTGATTTTTTGAGCAGATTCTGGATGAGTTCAGTTTGCAGCGCATTTCGTTGCCTATTAGAAGACGATATGCATGTTTGTTGTTTGCGTTTTTTTATGTCTTCAATTTTTGGTTTTCAGTTTGTATTGTATTTTTAAAAAGTTCTTTTTCTCAATTAATCAACAACAACAGAGAAGTGCGATTTTTGTCTCCGTTTAAACTATATAAATACGAAACTGGCTCCTTCTATAGAGCATAAGGCCGATTTATATCTGGCCCAGCGTCGCACATCATCAATGGAACATTGTTGCCAAGCCGCGGTGAATCCTTGCGATTCCGTGATAAAATGCGATCGAATCGGCAATACAGCAGTTTTTGGAATTTTTCTGCAGATCATCTACATCGACAAAAAGACCGTAACGCTAAACTCCTGCTCCTGATATTTGCTCGAAACCTCCTTGAACATTCTGCTGTGATACAAATCGAAATTTCCATATACAGAGTGTTTGGTAAGTAGTTGCGTTTTTTGCAGGGGTCGGACGGAATTGCAAAATTTTCGAATTGTTCCACGATGGAAGACTGATGGTCGCATTTCCATTAGCAGAGCTGGCGCTGTTCTTTGCCCAAAACAATTACAAGTGAAAAATTGATCTTTGGGTCGTGGTGATACAAAATATCCGTCATGCGGGCCATATGCGATCCATCAATTTCGTTGCAACGCAATAACTTCCAATCTGTGCGGAGGCACAAATCGGCCGACAAGCAATGATTTATGTATAACCAGCGATTTGCGACGATATTGTAATATATGGACTGGAGCACTCCATCCAAAGCCCGATTTCTTTGGCATTGTCAACCGAACTCTGTGCGAAATGAATGGCCACTTTCAGTTATTTATCGGGCTGCTGAACGGCCTTTAATGGCAAAATAGTCTGAAGAGCTGAAGACCTGAAGACAAGCAGGAAAATTGGCAACTTTTCCTGCTAACTTTGGGCTTGATGAGTGACAGATTTACATTGTTAGCTCGAGATCAACTTCGACAACGAATCACGCAAGAAAAACAGAAAGCGACCTCCCCTACGGGGATTAGACTGTTTATCCGGCAAAACTTTTCAAATAACGGATTCCGACCGAGTAAAACAACTCGGGCTTTTAGGGGTTTTGTTTTCCGTGACGCGCAACTTTGCATGTCGAGCCCGTTTTCCTTTAAACAGTTCGAAAACGCCAGCAAAGTCTTTGTTGGTTTTTTTGTGCGCGTTACCTGGCGCGTAAGCAACCTTTTGCCCAGGACAAAAATAACATTTTCCATCAGCCACATCGCAAACTCTCCAGTTTCCACATGGAAACACTAAATGTATGTGGGCGAATCCCCAGTTGAATGGACCTTTAGAACGGCATTTTCATGGCTTGTCAAAGACTCTGACCTTTCATCGGCCGTTTGTGCCGTTTTTTTTGCAAAACAGTGATCGATTGATTTATGTTCAGTGCCACGCCGTTTGCATTGGCGACAACAGCGTAAATAGATCAAAACAGATAGACTTTCGAGGCTATTCCTTGAAACTAATGGGTTTTTCGGGTTTTTTAGGCCGTCGTTCAGTAGAATTTCTTGTTGACGTTTCGCAAGCACGAGTGGCTTGCATCTTCAGAAGTGGTTTGCTTGAACGCTTACACTGTTCTCATCAGAACCCGAT